CTCCGCATCACCCACCTCGTAGCGCGTGTGAGGGCTTCGTTCCCGTTTAGGGCTGAGTCATATTCCGTCGTCTGCATGGGCCACATTGTATTCACCCGTTGCTCCGCTGATGGACACTCGGGTTGCTTCCACCTTTTGCCTCTTGGGAATGACGCTGCGGTGAACACGGGTGTGCTCGCACACATCCTTTTTAACAGGCGTGATGAAACTGTTCCGTCTCTTGATTTTGGGTGCCCTACAGGTGAGGTGTATACACTTGGTAAAGCTCAATGAACTACACTGGATGAATATTACGGATCTTGAAAACGTTATGCTAAATGAAAAGCTGTATGTGGCCTTTTGTGTCCTTGTTTGTTTTTGAAAAATAGGATACTACGGACACATTTGCAGACTCGTATGAGTCTATATATCTGAAAAGGGCATATCCGTAGAGACAGAATGTAGATTCGTGGTCGCTAGGGGTGGGGGGAGGGAGGTGACCGCTAACAGGTGCAGGATTTTGTTTTGGGTGATGAAAATGTCTGGAACAGGATAGTGGTCATGGTTGCAACTCTGTGAAAATGTTAAAACCCTTGGCTTGTACCCTTTAAATGGATGACTTGTATGATGTATGAATCCTATCTCAATTAAACTGTCAAAAATGTTCGCATGATGTTTCCAAGGTCCGCCCATGACGTTCGTCCTTTTAAAATGTGCGGTTGATGAGTTTTACCAAAGGTGTAGGACTCACCTGGGTGGCAACCGAAAGCAAGATATAGGACGTTTGAATCGCCCCAAACAGTTTCCTGATGCCCTTCGGCCGTCCCCAGCCCCTGACAACCATTGACCTGGTTTCTCCCCTACAGTTCTCTCATTTCCAGAATGTCATGGAAATGAGATCAGGCAGTGTGTAGCTCTTTACATCCGGCCTTTTTTTTTTTGCTTCACGTAGGCTTTTGAGGTTGTGGCGTTTACTGGCGGTTGGTTCCTTCTTGTTACTAAGTAGGGTTCCCTTGTTTGGGTACGTGCCATTTTATCTGTTGATGGACATTTAGGTTGTTTTAAAAACATGTTTTAAAAACATGTTGGACACCTAGGTACGTCACGCTTCTGAAGGCTTCCTTCCTGCCCTTGGCACAAGCCGCGTCCCCAGGGGAGAAGGCCCTCCCCGCCGTCTTCTCCTGGCAGAGCCCAGGTCATTTGCTGGACACCCAGCTCACAAGCCCCTACCCCTGGGCCGCCCTCCTGACTGCTCAGAAGTGAGTTGGACAAGAGGGAGTGTCTCCAACAAGGACTGTCTTCTCTCTCTGTGTCCTGGGCCATGATCTTTGACCCTGGGGGAGGGGGCCGGCTGACAATCAGCTGCTTAGGCAAAAGGCTGCGACCTGGGCCAGCGCACTGTTATCTAATCAGCCGCCTGGTCGGGATGCCTCTGTCTGACCGAACGAAGCTGTCCTGCAAATCGAAAGCTGTGCAAAGTCCGGCGCCTACCTGAGGTGGAGGAGGGTGGGACGCTGTGTGCCCGGTGACCGCATGGCTGACCTGGATGCCCCGGGTTCTGCCAGCCCTGCTCTAAGTGCTCTAAGCACTTTACCTCTCTGAGCTCACTGTCCACACAGCAGCCCTAGGAGGGGGCGCTACCATCATGCCCACTTTATGGATGAGAAAACCGAGGTGCAGAGAGGATCAGTGACTTGTCCCCCGTCACCCCACCCTAAGGCAGCGTTGGGCCATCCGGCATTCCCTGCGGGCCAGAGCCCGTGGGATGGAGCAGAACCCCAGAGCCCCACATTCCCTTCTGTTGGAGAGAGAGAAAGACATGTGGCTTTATCTGGTGACTCCCTGGTTTGGCCGATTCGTCCCCAAAGCAGGGTGAGCAGGCCAGTGGGTGAAGAAAGCACAATGGGATTCTGGGATTCTGGACGCTTCTCCAGGCCCAGCTGCCTTTGCCAAGAAACGGGGCAGGGGGAGGGAGTCGGGAAGTGACAACTGTTTGTTTTTTGTTTTTAAAACCATTTTATTGAGGTAAGATTGCCAGAAAAAAAAAAAGCTGTGTATACTCAACGTGTACAACTCGATGAGTTCAGAGATAAGTGGACCCTGCGAAACCATCACCACCGCCTACGCGTGAACATACCCGTCTCTCCAAGCGCGGCCCCCCTTCATTTAGGGCTGCCACTGTGTTTTCAGTTACGCACCATGAGTGAGTCCTAGACAGTGACGGCAGTGCCCGTGCTCGAGGACGCGGCCTCACGCCCCTACACATTTGCTCAGAGGGTGGACTCGACGTTCCGTGCTCACACCACACACCTCCAGAAAGGCGGACACTGAGGCTGAGGTCGCCCTTCATCCCGGCGGGGTGCGCCAGGGGCAGCCAGGGCAGGCGGGTCCTACGTACTAGCCCTGCGAATATCCTTTCTGTGGGCCAGGGGCTGGCGGAGAGGGCGTGATGCGCCACCTCCCCGTCACTCCTCCCTGTGGGCCTGGCCCGGCTTTGTTATCTCCGGTTAAAATTTGAGGATTTTCATCCCAAGTGACCTCCGGTTCCCCCACCAGCAGCTTCCAGGCGGAGGTCTGAATCCCCCTCCTGCCCAGTCTGTGGCCAGGTCTGTGCCCAGGGGTCCGGGGACCTGGTGTTGGGCTCGCTGTGGCCCCGGGGAGAGGCGCGCAGCCTCGCTGGCCCTCAGTTTCCCCATCTGGAACATACGGCGGCCACCCCCTCTGGGAGATGATGCCAGCGTGGCATAGGGGCTGCCAATACGGCAGCTGTCGCCTGAAAATGTGCGACTTGGCTCCTGGGTGTGTTCAGTTTTGAAAAGTAAGCTGTCGATGTTGAAGCAAATGGGAGATTTCATAGAAAGATCTGGGTTTCTGGCGGCTCATGAAACATGGGCATATCTGGGAAAAAAGGCCCCCAGAACGAAGCCCAGGGGCCTGGAGGGGATTAGCAGCTGCTGCCTTTGGTTTGGGGGTGACCCCATCAATTCGCCACGGCTCCCCCCGACCCCAGTGCTCACCCGAGTTGCCCTTGGTTCCCAGACGTCCCGTTCATGTCTGGACGAAGCAGAGGACAGGCCTTCCCCGCCCCTCGGCTGGCACGCGAGACCCGCCCCTCTGCCCCTCAGCTCCTCCCGCGTGCCCCGGTGCGGGCCTCCGGGCCCTTCCACTCCAGAGCCGGGGGCTGCAAGGGCCGGGACTTCCCTCCCTGCCTTCGCCTTGGCAGAGGGGCATGGGGCTGCCCACCCCCCACGCCCTGCCCTGGCCTCGTGCCCTTTGCTTCACACCGAAGGAGTCAGCAGCAATTCGTCCCTGTGGACCCAGGCTCCCCGCTTCCCCACCCCACAGTGAAAAGCCACAAGTCTGGAGGAGGGGGCCTGGGAACACAGCCCGCAGAGGCCTCTCATTCACAAGGAAACAAACAAACAAACGAACAGTACTTATAGTGGCCGCTGGTCAGGGAGGCCACGATGCAGTGGAGAGCCTTGGAGACCACCTGGCGCTCAGGCCACCTGGGAAATGCATGTTTCGTGGCTTTAGTCATATCGTGTTTACTAGTTCTTTGCACTTATTGGATGCTCAGGTCGTTGAGAATGATCCTCGCGGCTCCCACCGCTGGGAGGAAGCCGTGTTTATCGATAAGCAGTTATTAATATCTGCAGGCAAGTCTCTGATCTAACATTTTCAAGAGAACCCTGAAATCCAGATTTTATGTTAAATCTCCTGGTTTTTTATTCTTGGCAATGAAGTTCAGCTTTTTTCATTCAGAGGCCATGTGGGTCACATGAGCTGCAGCTAAGACTGTAGTCACCAGCTCGTTGTACACGGAACAGCTGAGGTTCGGAGTGGACTGGCTTGCCCAAATGGCCCTGGGGTCTGGCTGCCTCCAGATCTGCTTCTTGCCGGAGTCTGCCGGCTGGGGACACGGCCCGGGCCTGACTGCCTTCTCCACAGCCTCTGCCTGTTGGTTCTGGCTGTTTGGGGATAGTGGGAGTGGCCGTCCTTGTCCTAGAAGGCCCCGTTTAAAAGAAATGGGAAGGTAACACAAGCCGCCCTGCCTGCCTAGCTCTGCGACATCTGACGGGCTGGTCACTCTGCTGGACCTGAGCTCTAAGGGGACGTGAGCCTGGTGGGGGCCTGCGATGTGGCTGGGCCGGGGGTGGGGAGATGGATTGGGTGGCACTGGAGGGACCTCCCCGTGACACTGGGGCAGGGAGCTGCAGAGCCGCGGAGTGGAGCAGGGATTCGAGGCCAGTGGATCTGAGAGAGTCCGGTCCGTTTCCTTTGGCATCTTAAGAAAATCAAGTTTTTGCCAAGTTTTCTATATGAGGAGATTTCATATAGATTTCTGTCTTTCTTGGGTCCGGCCGCACTGGCCGCCTTGCAGTTCCCAGCGCCTCCCGGCCTCGGGGCCGTGCACTGGCTGCTGCTGCTGCTACGTGGACCCGCCTCCCCCCAAACCCACGTGCCCCTCCCCAGCCCTTGCTTTGCATTTTGGTTTGTTTTTTTGTTTTCGGTCACATTTCATCACTGGACCACTCCGTTTACTTACAGCCCTCTTCCTCGGCCTAATTATTTATCCCTGCCTTTCCCCTCGTAGAATAAAAGCCCCACAGTGTCGGGGATTCGGGTCTGTCTGGTTCACGCTCCTGTCAGGCCCGGCTCTTAGAGGAGTGCCTGGCACGTCGTGGGTGCTCAATAAATGTTTGTCGATTGAACGAATGAATGATACATTTGGCCATATGATGCCATAAAGCAGCAGCCATTTCCTTTAGATGGGGTACATCCCCCCATTTGCCAGGGTCCCCAGATCAGGCTATTGTTATTAAAACACGTTAAAAAGTAATGGCACGAATAGATTCCCTACTAACTTGAATTACGTGAACCCCCTTCCCAGACGTGCTGTGCATGGGGTCTGGCGGTGCAGGCGCAGGCCGGCTCTGGGCAGCTGTTCTGGAGCCCCGCGGCGGGCGGCATTGGGACCCCGGTCGCCCTCCTCACGGCGTGTTTGTCCCGCCCCCCAGAACGTGCGCATCGACCCCAGCAGCCTGTCCTTCAGCATGTGGAAGGAGATCCCCATCCCCTTCTACTTCTCCGCCTACTTCTTCGACATCGTCAACCCCAACGAGATCCTCCAGGGCGAGAAGCCGCAGGTGCGGCAGCGCGGGCCCTACGTGTACCGGTAAGGACGGAGGGCCCCACGTGTACCCATAAGGATGGGGGGCAGGCCCTACGTGTACCGGTAAGGACGGGGTGCCCCACGTGTACCCGTAAGGAGGGGGGTGGGCCCTATGTGTACCGGTAAGGACGGGGGGCCCCATGTGCATCTGTAAAGAGGGGCCCCACGTGTACCTGTAAGGATGGGGGGCAGGCCCTACGTGTACCGGTAAGGACGGGGGGCCCCACGTGTACCCGTAAGGATGGGGGGCCCCACGTGTACCCATAAGGAGGGGGGGTGGGCCCTACGTGTACCGGTAAGAATGGGGGGCCCCACGTGTACCGGTAAGGACGGGGGGCCCCACGTGTACCCGTAAGGATGGGGGCGGGACCCCTGCTTGTTGGCTCTGACTGAGCCACCCACGTGTACCTGTAAGGATGGCGGGGCGAGACCCACGTGTACTGGTAAGGACGGGGGGCCCCACGTGTACCCGTAAGGATGGGGGGCAGGCCCTATGTGTACTGGTAAGGACGGGGGTGGGCCCCACACATACCTGTAAGAATGGGGGGCGAGACCCACGTGTACTGGTAAGGACCGGCGGTGGCGGCGTGGGTGGGGCTGGGGCTCAGAGCTGAGGGGTAGGAGGTTGTTCTTCTGAGCCCCAGAGATTGTTCCAGAAGCAGACCCGGTGCAGACGGGGAAGAGATGGTGCAGGGAAGTTCTGTAGGGGGCAGCGAGGCAACTGGCCGTATGGATGAGGGAGGAAGGGGTGTGTGTGTGAGAGAGAGAGGGACACACACACACACACACACACACACACACACACACTCTCTCTCTCTCTTGGTCTCCAGGCCAGTGGGGACCTACTCCCCAAACACGAGCCCTCGAGGGTCTCGCAGCTCTTACCTGGTCACTTGTTTGTTCAGCGCACTGAGCCGGCCTCTGCCCCAGGCACTGGGGAAACAGCAGGGAATGAGACAGACAGAGGTCCCTGCCTTTCAGAGCTGACATTCTGGGGTGGGAGGGGGCAGATAATTCATAATTCATGTGTACCGGTAAGGATGGGGGGCCCCACGTGTACCCGTAAGGATGGGGGGCCCACGTGTACCCATAAGGAGGGGGGGCGGGCCCTACGTGTACCGGTAAGGACGGGGGGCCCCACACATACCTGGAAGTAAGTATATCACGTGATAGCAGGTGGTGAGTATTAAGTGCTGCGAAAATCCAGCAGGGCAAGGGGCATCCTGCGTGGGTCCACATGTGTATGGTGGTCTGGCAAGGCCTTCCTGCTGTTTATCCTGCGTGGGTCCATGCAGGATGTGTATGGTGGTCTGGCAAGGCCTTCCTGCTGTTTATGCAAGGGACTGAGCCATGGTCAAAGGTGTCCCTGGCAGAGGGAACAGAAGTCCAGAGGCCCTGGGGCCGGACAGTGTGGCGTGTGAAGAATCGCAGGGAGGCTGGAACGGGCTGGGGCAGAGGGTAGGAGATGAGTTCACAGAGATGGCCACCCCATCGTGTGCGGCTGGGGGCGGAGGGCAGGACTCTGGAGGGCAGAGGGCAGGCGAGGGCCGTGATGGAGGCTGCGGTGGCCGTGAAAGCTGGAGGAGCAGTTATGCTGTCAAGCTGGTCTCTTTTGGCGCTCGTGTGTGTCAGGAGTGGGGACACAACGGTGAAGAGGCAGACGCTGTCTGTCTACTGAGAACGTGGGACCAAACCAAATATCAATGTTCTAGAGATGTAAAATTGGTTGTAAATTATAAAGCAGCGCTGAGCAGGAGTGGGAAGGGTCCTCCAGGGGGGAGGGCACCGCGTGAGCCAAGGCTCGGGGCAGGAAGAAGCACGGACCATGTGGGGGCAGGGAGCTTGTGCGGGAGCTTGTGTGGGCCACGCCGGGAGGTCAGTCTTTGGCGTGAGAGTGTTAGGCACCCGCCCTGCCTAGGATGCAGGGCGGGGAGGGCCGGTTGGCAAGGGATGTGCATCTGTTGGACTTGCTGACTCAGCGCCCGGGTCGTTGCCTCCTGGCCTTGCTGTGTACCTGCCCTGGCTTTACCCCTCTGAGCCTAGAGCTGCCCGTCTGCAGCCTGGGGACAGTGACCACACAACAGCTACTTTATCGGATTATCACTTGCAGGAGACGAGACTACATTCCAAGTAATTACGAGGCGCCCCTGGGGTGTGGTGCATGTGCGCTATGCGTGGACGTACCTTCCCCTCTCCTCTTATCTCGTGGAGTCTCCATGAGAGCGCCCCACGCCCTGCACTATCATCCCCAGAGGTGAACTGGGGTGGGTGGCCGGGGCAGAGAGCGCTCAGGCTGTTTGCCAAGCGCAGCTGGCTTCCAGGCCACCTGGGATGAAAACAGCCCCTGTGCGGAGGTCTGGGGGTCGGGAAGTGCCGTCAGGGTGGACTGTGCGCATTCGCTCAGTCCCTCACTCAGCAGATGTCCACTGAGCACCTGCTGGGGACACAGAAGTGGACACAATGGACAGAAAAAGGACTGGGGTCCCTGCAGTCGAGCTGGGGAGTTGAGTGAAGGTAGATAAGGGCAAGCACATGTTAGCCTCGAGGGGAGTGCCTGGGAGTGTGGGGGCGTTTCTTTAAGTCTGGAGATGACCAGGGTGGGCTCTGAGAAGGCGACGTGCGGGAGAGCCCCGACGGAGGCGGCGTGGCCCGGCGGAGGGGCCACGTCGGGATGCGGGGTGCTCCCTGAGGTGGCCGACGAGCCGCGCAGAGGCTGTGTCGCCCTGTCCCCA